CAGGTTTCAAAGGGTTAAGTTCCTCTCTCTGAGCTGCAGGACCAATAACTGAGAGCTCTGTTTCGTCCTGGTTGAGTAGAAGAAAGTTTTCTGCCGTGCAGACTTGATGAATAAAATACAGCACAGAAGTGTGTCAGCTGGCCGACCTGTAGGTGACTGCAGTGTTTCCATTTCCTGCTGCTCAAACTTCAGTTTCATTAACTGTCAGAGATAATTATTGTACTTTTTACTACATTAATCTGATACCTTTAAGTTCCTGATTCTGATTAATAACACAGATATATTGCATTCATGATTATGATATTATATATTGATCCCCAATGTACAAATTCATAACCTAGGTGGCAGCGTATCAAGTAACTAACAGGCTCCATATACATTAAATATTTTTCTATATTTTATTTCACAGGGACGATGTTACTTAACGTAGTTCAACACAGAGTGTGACACTGATGTGCTGCACAGAGCGTTTATAGCTGTTGTCAATTTTCAACTCTTGTCCCTAATTATTCGATAATATTTGCTTCACTTTTATCAGCCGCAACATTTAGGTGATGAACACATTAATGCCTCAATAATTAGCCTGTAATCAGTGTTGGGAAGGTTCTTTTAAAAATGTAATAGGTAATAGATTACTATTAACTGTTAAGTATGGAATGAGTAATGTAACTATTCTATTTATTTCATCATATGAATGTAACTTATTATATGTTGACTACTTTTCTAACAAATGTTTTAAACTGGCCAGTCGAGCTCAAACTACAAACATAAATGTCACAACAGTACTCAACACTGATTACTCTCAAACTTTACTTTTATTTTATTAATATAACAAAGAATAGAGAATGTTACACACATCACTTTTATCCAAAATAACATATTCTGATGTCACCTTTTTGTAATCACCAATATTTTGATTAGTAACTAATTCAATTGGATATTTTCCTTGTAACTGTACTTGATTACAATTACATTTATTTTGTTGGATATTACTCATTACGCTCAGATACTACCAATAATATAATCAACATTATTCTGAAATGGGCCTTTCTGCAGGAGTAATCTTCCTTTTGATATTTTAAATATATTTTAATGGAAATACGTTTAAACTTTTACTGAAGTAAGATTTCAAATGCAGGACTGAACGACTTGTAACAGAGTATTTCTACTGTAGTATTACAACTTTTACTTAACCCAAACAAAATCCGATTACTCCTTCCATCAATGTTATTCTTTAAAACAAAGCAGCAAAATGAAAAAAATGTTTATCAATGATTCAGAATAAAATAAGTAGATATTTTGTTTTGCATGATATTTTCACATAGGGCTTATAGTCAGTGGTGGAAAGTAACTAAGTACATGTACTCAAGTACTGTAGGCCTACTTCCACTCCACAACGTTTCAGAGGGAAATATTGAGTTCTTACTGTACATGGAAACTATTTTGATAAATCCAGATTATTTGTCAGACAAAAATGTAAAACACTCATCATTGTTCCAGTGTCTCAGTGGTGAAGATTCACAACTTTTGTCTGTTTTTTATTTATTTATTTATTTATTTATTTATTTATGTGGGTTTAAAACCACATGAAGACATTTGAAGACGTCACCCGGAGTTTTAGGATTTTTTTCTTTATTTTTTACTGTTTTCTGACATTGTGTTACCATCACCAGCACAAAGAAAACAATAGGTAGATTAATCAATAATAAAAATAATCCTTAGTTGCAGCTCTGATAGTTTGTGCATGTTTATTATGTTTGCTGCATTTATTTGAGAAGACATGTTGTTTTACTCAACGATGCATGAAGCACCTGAAAGTCATACTTGAGTCAAAGTTATCTTACCAAAGAATGACTCTGGTACAAGTCAAAGTCACCTACAGCATTATTTCAGTAAAAGTATTAAAGTATCTGATAAAAAAGTAATTGACAAAAGTAATTTTGTGATATTAAATGTACTCAAGTATTAAATGTAAAAGTACAAGTAAATGCTGTTAATAAAAAGCAAGTGGTGAAGTCTGTTTCTTTATAACATGTACACCACCTTAAACAATGTCTTTTTTCACAACTTAAACGATTTAAAGAACAAAATCCAGTATTTTCCTCCCTCCCATTCCATCTGTGCATCCTTTCCTCCCTCCTTCCTCCCTTCCTCCCTTCCCTGATTTGTAGTAAGGAGCCAAGACGCTCAGGGGAAATGTACTGGAGCTAAAGTAAACATTTGATTTTGTAAACGCAGGAGAATAAAAGTGAGAGTTGGCAGAAGTATACAAACTCAAGAAAAGTACAGATACTCCCAAGAAATACTTCAGTACTGTAACTGTAAGTATAATTACTTCGTTACATTACATCACTGGTTTAATTCTGTTTGTAGAGTGCTTTATTTACATCTGGCCCATGATGAGGTTTGCACTTTCAGCTGACTGTTTTCCTATTTCAGAACACTACATTAATATGTGTCATAAATCTGACACACAGCTGCGGTTCATCCTATTTACAAATCACTTAATGTGACTTCATAGTTATATTTGCTTTGACTGAGAGGGACGAATTAACTTTACTATTTACACCATGTAAACAGATGTAACAGATGTTTGTCTCCGCCTGGTGGTTGAACTGATGAACTGCAGACAGGCAGGCAGGCAGGCAGGCAGGCAGGCAGGCAGACAGACAGACAGACAGACAGACAGACAGACAGACAGACAGACAGAGAGAGACAGGCAGCTGAACAACTTATTTGTCTTTACTTGACTCGTGTGTGTCTCTGAAGCTTAACAGGAAGTTCAACTTGGGTTAAATATTCACAGCTTCATAAACCTCTGGCAGCGAACACACACACACACACACACACACACACACACACACACACAAACCTGAAAGTCAATCTCTTTTATTGAGGCAATTATTATAATGCTAATAATTAATATTTGAACCTGGAGGCGACGTCTCACTCTCTCTGAGCTCCATGTTTCTGACAGGACGAGTCATGTTTTCAGTCGTTTGCCAAATATCAAATATAGAAATAAAGAGTAATCTTGTATCTTAATTGTTTCATTTGTATTTTTTTTTTTAACAATTTCTATTTAATTTTTGACAATTAAATAATTGTAATTTGGTCTATTTATTTATATATTAATGAATGTGTTAGATAATAAATTTGACTATAATCAAATCATTGTAAATCATCTATTTTACATGAATATATTCATTTGTAAATACATGTGTTGACTATAATCAAATAATTATTCTAATTTGGTCTATTATATATCAATAAATGTATAAATCATTTGTAGATAAATTTGACTATAATTTCATTTGTTAAAAAAATGATAAAATATTACTATTTTATTTATTTGTAAATAAATGTACTATTATCAAATAAATAATTGTAATTTCGTCTATTTATTTATATAGCAATAAATGTATTTGTCAATAAATGTATTTATGTTTAACATAATTGTATGTTATTTGTGAAATGTTTTAGAAATACTCCCATGACACTTGTGGGCCACCGTACATGAGTTACTTTACAGGTTTGGTTTTTTTTTAACAGCTTCTCAATTTTAACCATTTTTACTACAAATATTTTATGTTTTGGACTGTTGGTAAGAAAAGAGTCCAAACAATGAATCAATAAACTAATGGACAGAATAATCAGTAATGAAAATAGCACTTAGTTGCTGGGAGTGTGTTCAGTTTTGCAGGTATTCGGTCAGAGTATTGGAGAAAATAAACTGTGACTAAAACCATCTTAATATTTGAGGCTCAAGAAGAAAACTCTGTGAGCACAAAGTGTTGGATCAAATCATGTTTATTAATGTGTTCAGGAAATCCCCACACAAACAGTTTACAGGGGAACGTACAGATTTACAATCATTCTCGACACAAGTGCCAGCTTAACCCCCGTGACACTGAGAACGCCCGCTGACTCTCACGACCAGTTAACCCAACACCCATTCCCCTTTAAACAGGTCGACCACCAAGTCCTTCCTGCTCGCTGACGAGCTACACACACAGTACGTGTTGTGTTGGTTTCCTCGGTCATGAAGTGTGCGGCGCTATAATGTGTAGTAGCCTGCCATCGCCCAGACATCCAACTAGGTTTCCTTTCTTCATGTATGGACCATTCACAGTTAAAGAGCCTTCATATTTGGTGCCAATCCTTCATCCCAACCAGGAAAACTAGACAGCCGGATGCTTTCAGATGTCAAAGTAAAACTGCCAACCGTTGGTGAGAGAAAACCTCTTGAGGCCCTCGAGGATACACTACGCTCATATACAGGATTTGTCATACTGCTCAAATGCATTTGGTTCAGCAGTCAAAGTACAAATAGAAATGCTAAAACTAGTTACAGAAAAAAAAACACATGTAACATCTCTGAAAGGAATAACATGTGAAGCTTGTGAATGTATCAGGACACCTGTCTTAAGTCAACCGGCTGACGCCTGTGAAATGCCCAACACTTTGTATATGACCTACGTCACAAAGGAACACGGTCAGGATGAGCCGTCGTACGGAGGGGCATCTCATAATCCAATTTAATCCGGGGTTAATTAAATGCCAGCTATCCAAAAAAATATAGACCAGAATTGCATATACTCTCAGATCCTAATTTTTAAAACTGTTGGCTTGCTTTGTGCTTCACGGTCTCACTTGGTGGGGGACAAAGGTAGTGTTCACTGGAGAACCATCGCTAAGAATAATCTGTTATATTCCAATATAATAATAATAATAAAACAAACAGCATGATTTTCAGATGACACCAGAATGACCGAGGATGGGCGGTTTTTTTTTTTCCTTTTTCTGTTTTTTGATTTGCTTCGACCTGATACAGGTTAAGATGCAATTTACTGAATCTCTTAACTGGTGGGTTTGAGGTTTCAAAATCAAAGAGAGGTTAAAATGAACATTTAGCATTCAGTCTACATCAGGTGAACAGTTCTAGTTAACATAGATATATACTACGGGGGGGGGGGGGGG